CGAAGGTCCACACTACAAACTGTTTTGGCCCAAGCTTCACTAATGAATAGCCTGTCATGCAGGAGCAAATTTGAACTTGTACAATATGCTCTAATTTTTTTTTTCTCAAGAAATTGATAAATGATTGTGTTTTTTTTAATAAAAATCGAAACTAATCTTTGTTTGTTAAAATTTCGACACTCAACAAAAAAAAATTTGACAAATCTTTTGTATCCCAAACTTTCCAATAGTGTTCATCAGTCGATGAATCTCAAATTATCCAGTCTAAACCTTTTTAGATCGATTTCGACTTTCATTTTATTAAAACCCACCTCAATTTCATCAATTAGATGATAGATTCTTATATTTCTTCATCCTTCGATCTTAATGGTCCACTGTCTGATGGGCCTGCAATTGGACTATGTTGGTCAATTCGTCATTCTCTCATGGTCCACCGTTCGAAGTGGTCAACTCGTCCGAGCTATGCCAATTTATATCATCCTTTAAGTTTTTAACGCCGAGATACTAAAATGAAGCAAAAACTAAACATTAGGTATAATTTAATAAAAATTTAAATTTAAATACTAAAGCAAATTAAAATTAATATTTTAAATATTAAACGCGTATTCGATGACAAACGAAAATGTAAATGACACTGTGTAGATGTATTCTGAGTAGTAGTAGAGGTGATGTGAAAGGTGAGTGAGCAGAGTTGAAGGACATAATATCCGAGTACCAAAAGGCCTGACTCATCTGAGCTAGCATCGAAATGAGAGTAGAAAAGGACCTAAACAAAAAGTCAAAGAAGAGGGCACAAATCCCAAACAAACCCCCATTTCAGATTAGGGCACAGAGACCTATCAGATCAGATTAATGGACTTTTTTTTTGTACCACAAATATTTCTCTTTTCTTATTTCTACTTTCTATTCGTTATAAATTTATAATTATTGTATCATATAGACAGAAAACGTACGTCATTGATTAATTTAAAAAGATGAAACATAAAGATAAACATACACGTATGTCAGCGTTAGTAAGTTACGAGAAGGAATAAAATTAAAATGGATTAAAACCTAAATTAAGACAACACTACTTCTTTACCTTAGTTATAACTTTAATAAATTCTAATGATAGAAAACGTATAAAAAATAGAGGTCGTGAAAATTACAACAAAGGCAATTAAAAAGAAGACAAAGATGCTACATCCTATGGCTGTTGACCCACACTACTCGGCTACCCTAGTCTTAAGTCTTCATACTTTCCTATAAGAGGTCATGTCCTCGATAAGGGATAAATCATTCAAATCATATCTCAAGCAATCTACCCACTTCCTCCTTGGTCGTCCTCTCCTTATGGCACCGTCTACTGAAATCGACTCTACCCTCTTGACTGCATCCGACGTTTGTCGCCTAAAGACATGCCCAAACCAACGTAGTCTTTCCTCCCTCAATTTTTTGGATACATGCACCACCGCCAAGGATATCCTAATAACAGAGTTTGATATCATGTCCCACAGAGTCCTACCACATGCTCATCGAAGCATTCTCATTTATGCGGCCTCCATCCTCCTTAAGTGATCCTTATTGATTGCCCAACATTTTGATCCATACAACAACGCTGGCCTTATTGTCATTCTATAAAATTTTCCCATGAATTTTAGAGGTACTTTTTTGTCATACAAAACCCTAGTAGTAGCCTACACTTTAGCCATCTCACATTTATACGGTGTGTAACGTCATACGTATAATCAGAAAAGCATTTTATAAATTGAGATAAAACGATTTCAAGATGAGTATAATAAATAAAAACTTATAATTTAAAAAAAATCAAATTTTAATACACATCCTCATACAAACGATTCACAAAAAATTATCTAAATACTACATTTATTTGCTCTTCTACTACTATTTTATGGTATAATGAAAGTAATAATATTTATATTGTAACGCAACGTGAGTGAGGCCCTCCCTCCCTCACACACTTTGATTCCACACAATGGGTCCATCAATTTAATATCAACATCTCCTGACAATTACAGTCACCCATTTCAATTTAATTCAAATCGCTGCAGCCATATACTGTTCTTTTACCATTTTTATGCCAAACAATCATCTTCTTTATGTATCTTACATTTTATATTTCCTTTTTCTGTAATTTCCGAACGGCTCTGCTAAAAAAATGTTAATAATTTTATTATTATTTAAATAAAAAATTATCTAAAACAAAATCGATATAAATAATAATATTTCTGATAATTTTATACCAGTTTTATTATTTAAATAATAACAAAATCAATAACATATTTTTTAATTATATATTAAGACTGCCACACGTTATCATATCCCGATTTTTTCTCATGTATTAGTTTGGTACATAGATTATAAATACGTAGGTTTAGATCCCAATAAATACTCTGTTACCCTTCTTAAGTGGGTATTTTAAACAAAATACCTAATTAACATTTAATTCATTCATTAATGTATGCGTTTTTTTAAATTTTAGCGAAAAACATACAAATGGCCAATTGATTATAAGTTGTTGTTTTGTTGAGTCCGCTGATTATCAAAAGTTACAAAATGATCCTTTAATTATAAGATGTTGCTTTGTTGAGTCTCCGACTATTAAATATTACAAAATTGTCACTTAACTATTCATTATGTTATGAATTAGACAATTTCCGCTAAAAATTTGACAATAGACTGAGTTGAATGTTAATATGTTATCTGATATATGATAAAATCTGGTCCTAAAATCTCAAATGACTATCGTATCTTAGATAATAGATTAACATTCAGCTTAGACTGTCGTTATTTTTTAACGAAAAATGACAAATTTGGAACATAATGAATAGTCAGGTTACCATTTTGTAATTGTTGACACTCAAGGAACTCAACAAAGTAACATCTTGTAGTTGGGGGATAATTTTATAATTTTAATAGTTGAAGACTCAACAAAACAGTTTTCTATAGCTGATGGACCATTTGTGTATTTTACCCTTGATTTTAAAGGGTCCATTGAGAATTTGTTTTCACAAATTGCAGTGCACATTTGATGAAAAGAATACTTCAGACCAATTATATAAACGCATAGGATTAGATACCTTGTAGCAAAAGAAATAAATGCAAGGGTACAAAGAGTTTATTAATCTAGCTAGGTATTCAAGCTCATAATGATGGGATTTAACCTCCCACATTAAGGGTATTTGACTTCCTTATATAATGAGATAAGAGGGTTTTAAGTATTTTTAGAAAGCGAATTGAACCTCTCTCCTTTTAGTTAAATTTGATTTTCAAATTTTTTATATATGTATTTTTAAAAAAGATTGATTGCTAAGTTGTTAATATTTATACAACTTTATATGTAAGTCTTTATTACAATTCATGTGTACTTTATTCTTGATATGATATTATATTGTTGATTTGATACTGGTTTTACCATATACACTATTTAATTTTAAAAATATATTTTAATATTTCAAAATTATCAGTGCCGCGTCAATAGTGAAATACATGTGGATTGACATTTGACATGTGAGTTCACATTTATCGTTATGAAAAAAATTTAATATTGTAATCATCATTTCTATTTAAACCACAATAATTTGACACACAAAAACTAGAGTTATGGTATTTGATTAGGGGTGTTGAAAAATATTCGATCTAAATTATTCGACTTGTTAACTTATTAACTCAGTATAAAAGTATCGAATATTTTAGAGGTAAATATTCGATTTTGCGGGTCAAGTATCCGACTCGTTATTATTTTTGGGTTTCTGGGTCGAATCCAGATCACAAAATTAGTCTTAATCGGATACCCGCCGACCCGCTAACCCAATTTTTCATTTTTATTTTATTATTATTTTTTTTACATTAGTTTTTTTATTTCTAATTTGAAAATTATTTTACCCTAACATTCTAAATCTATTTTTTTCAAATTATTTCAACTTAACATTTAAATTATTTATTTTAATTTTAAATTATTTTAAATTTTGTTGTAATCTTATAATTTTATTTTTTATATTTTTAAATTTATTTTTAAATTATATAAATTTTCAATTATTTATTTAATTTTTAAATTTTGTAATCTTAAATTTTATGTATAAACTTTTGATTTTTTAATTTTATTTTTTATATGTTTTTTAAAAAATATTATAAATTTAAAAAAAATAAAATAAAAATTATTTTAAATTTTGTTGTAATCTTATAATTTTATTTTTTATATTTTTAAATTTATTTTTAAATTATATAAATTTTCAATTATTTATTTTAATCTTAAATTATTTTAAATTTAGTTGTAATCTTAAATTATAACTATTATAAACTTTTGATTTTTTAATTTTATTTTTTATATGTTTTTTTAAAAAATATTATAAATTTTATAAAAAAATAAAATAAAATCTTAATTTTTTAATTTATGTTTATTATTAGGGTTTTGTCTATCAAAGAAATTTTATATATATAAATATTGATTAAAATTCTTAATAATCTCTTCTTTTCTTATTTTGCTTTTTTTCATTATATCTGATATCTATCAAGTGTACAAACATGTGAACAATATACTAACAAGTCATTAAAAAAGTATTATAAACAATTACGAATTTCCATAAATTAAACTAGATAAGATATGACATCATGGTATCGCCATTGAAGGTTACTGAAGATTTACCACGGAGGGAATTGAGCAAGATGCTGTTATTGACCAGAAAAAAGGAGAGAGAGAGACAGATACAGAGAGGCTTTGTTGAAGTGTCATTTTCTTATATATACTTTCGAGGATGAAGTAGAAGCAAGCCAAAATAAACGCAGTCTCATCCGTCCCCCAATATTCATGCCCAATCCTTTTAACCTAATTATTCTATCATCATTGCAACACCTCACACATCTCTCTCTCAGGATGTTTGTTCCTTAAACAACACCAGAAACCACCCCCCCCCCCAAAAAGAAAAGAGAACACCCCGAGTTCTTTCTTTTGTTTTTCTGGTTTAGTTGGATCTCAGTGAACAGTTATTGAAACCCTTAAAATGAACAATAAAAGGGATCTGAATGAACAGTGTTTGAATCGGATCCCTGATCTCTCACTGCATATTAGCCCCCCCAACAGTACTCCTTCCTTTGAAGCAGACACTCAGCTTTCCTTAGCAGCTGGTGCAAGTACTTATGAAGATCAAACGAGGCACGTAAATGTTCCCAAATGGGGTCAGATGAGTAATATAAACCATGGGATTTCATGGCTTGATGTTTCTGGACTGAAACCCATCAAGGGGATCCCCGTTTACTGTAACCCTAGGTTTAATGGGGTTTCACCGGAGAGAGCAAGGCCTCAGTTTCATCAGCAGTACAGCCAATATGTCTTGTCAATGGAGAGTTCGAGATTTATACCTAAATTACAAAGCAGAAGGAGCACAAGGGCACCCAGGATGCGTTGGACCAGCTCTCTCCATGCTCGGTTTGTTCATGCTGTGGAGCTTCTTGGCGGCCATGAAAGTAATTCAAGCAAACCAGATGTACTAAAGTTTTAGTTTTTAGCTTTTGGGGGACTAATTTTGATGAGGTTATGTACTTGATATAGGAGCAACTCCCAAGTCTGTGTTGGAGCTTATGGATGTCAAAGATCTAACCCTCGCCCATGTTAAAAGCCATTTACAGGTAAACCGATCTGAAACTTCAAACCCTCACCCCCCGCCTCTTTATGAAACATATGCCCTAAAAAATTCGATTTTTTCGAAGAGTCGATTTTTACATCTCCCGAGGCACAAAAGCCGATGAGAGCAATGAATGAATGAACAGTAAAGAGTGTGTATTCTTGTGATACGGAAACTTCAACTTTTTAAGGAAGAAGTTGAAGTTGAAGTTGAAGTGTGCGAGAGAGAAAAGTAGGCATCATTTCTCAATAATGTAAAGCAATTACTGAGCTCACCAAACATCAACCTCGTGTTTATTAAACAATCCATTAAAAACCCAGAACTATATACTATTGAGTGGGGGATGTTATTTCTATCCCAATATTAGTTAATTAATCAAATATTTCATTCTCTCTCTCGTCTTTCATTATCTTTTATCTTTGTTTTTTCTCTGCAGATGTATAGAACTGTTAAGAGCACTGACAAACCTGCAATTTCCTCTGGTGATTCGCATCTACTTTATCAAAACTTAAAACATTTCTAGCATGCATTCTTATTTACGCTTGAAAAATATGTATGATCCCATTAATTAGTTTTATTTGAGAAATCTAACTAGTAAATGGCTTAATTTCTTTGTTAAAATAGTAAATAGACAAAATGACTTGTGGCAGATGGGTGTGCAGAAGAAGATTGTTTGCCTGTTTCCAGAAATTCAATGAGTGACAACTCCTCTAGGTAAGTCTCTCCAGTGTTATATTTATTTTCTTTTTTACTGATTCTTTGCTTTAAATATATAGATATGCGACATTTGCTTCTTCTTTTTTTCTCTAGGTTTTTTTGTCTTATGATGCATGACTAGATTTAGCTAATTAGCACATATAAGAAAGTTTTATACTTGAACCCTCACGGTGGTCCATGTGATTAAGAGAATTTTATTCTCTCTTAATGATTCATATTCGAATAACATAGTCTTTACGTACGTGTGAATTTAGATATAGACCTTTTCAAAAAAATTATACATAATATAAATTAATCCAAAAAATTTAACATATAACATTGCATAATTCATTGGAAGTTAATTGTACATTAAATGTAGAGATAGGAGGTTGATTCTATTGAAATTATTATTGCTCTAATATTTGGAAGGTGAAGAATTTGAACATACTTTTTTTTTAAAGAAGAAACTAATTTTATTCAAAATAGGAAATATACCAAATTATAATAAAAATTTACTATCAAAATCGTAAATTAAACACATAATTAAGAAAATTTCCTATAATCATTGAAACAAAACTAGCAACTTAAGATCACATATGGACCATACAAGGAAATATTAAATCTAACCAAGAAACTTGAACAAAAATATATACAAACATATCTGATCGCATCGGCAAACGAACCATAAAATGGATCAAACTATTGAAAGATCTCTGACAAACTGCAAATCAGACTCGAGTGACGTGAAAAACTATCCACGAACACAAATCGGGTATCCCAATCAAAACCGAGGGTTCAAAGCAAAGAAGATCACAATATATCAGATAAACGTCATTTTGATCAGTCGTGGCGATATCAAATCAACTTTTAGAAAAAAGATAAATGAAAATATAACCAAAGAATCGAAAAACATGCCAAAAAGCATAAGAAAACGTGCCATAAAAGCATATGAAAACGTGCAACATTGGCAGACTTATTGAGAATAAAAAAACAAAGAAAATAAAGATACGATATAAAAAAATACCAACGGTCGACAACTAACATTAAATTTGGTGTCGCCGTCGATCAACAAAGACGAAAAAAAGAGATAAACATCACACCAATGAAAAAAAAACTAGGTTTTTTTTTCATTTTTTTGTACCAGAATTTGAACATACTTAAGTATGTGATAATCTTGCTCACCCTTTCATTAGTCGCTCTCTCTCTCCTTTGTCTTCCTTTTTTTTTTTGAGTTTGTTTTGTTTTTTGTTTTGTTTTTTATAGATCAAATCAATTTTTTCTTCTTTGATTTTCTTTAGTCAACGGCGACTCCGACTTTGATGTTTGTTGCCGACTGCCAGTTTTCTTTTCTTTTTTTTCTTTTTTAATCAAAATAATTCTGCATGTGTTGCACGTTTATATCTGCCTTTGTGGCACGTTTTTTGAATTTTTTTCCGGTCGTTTGTCTGGTCTTTTACTTATATTTTCTCACGGTTGGATTTGACGACACTACGACCGATTAAGTTGAGTCTCTTATTCGAAATCTTGTTGATCTTCCCTGCTATGGACATTTGGATTGAATTTGGATGTGTGATTTTGCGTTTGTGGATAGTTTCTCACGACGCTCGGCTCTGATATGCAGTTCTCGATAATCTTTTAATAGCTTAATTTTCTTTTGTGGTTCGTTTGCCGATGCAATCAAATTTATTCGTATCTATTTTAGTCTTCTGATTGGGGTTTTAACCTTTTCCATATCTGATAATTATATGATCTAAAGTGACTAGTTTCAATGTTATAGGAAAAGTCTAAATTATGTATTTAATTTACGATGCTAGTTCTAAACTCTTATAGTAATTTCAAATATTTTCAATTTTTTAATGATACTAGCTGCTTCTATTAAAAATAAGTATGTCATAACCTTTGATTTAGTAATAGAAGGATTATGCCTTAATTTTATATAAGATTGTGGATTTTAATATTTTTAAACCTATAATTAGATTGTGAAACTTATTGAGTAATCTCAATGATAAAGAGAATGTCTCTTTATCAAATTTTTATTCGAGTGTTTGTGTGTGTATTGTTAATAAATTAAATTTTTTCACATATATTATTATATATCTTAAATCTGTGTAAAATAAAAAAAATACATTATGTAAGCGGATAATGCCATATATAAATATACATCATCATCAAAGAAACTACTCAACGTTCCCAAATTTCTTTTTCTTTTCTTTTAAAATGTGATAACATAATCAATAAAGAAGGTAGAAAGCGGTGCTTGAGGCCAGCTTTTGCTTTTATTAACCTTTAATCGATCCTTTTATATTTTTATGCTTACTTTCTTCAACATGAGTGATGAAGATGATCTTTGCCACCATTAAAATAGGCCTCTTTTTTCCTTTAATTAATTTGAGCATCTCTAGCTTCAGTATGAGTTGGTGGGGTGAGAAGAAAATTAAAGATGGCTGTGAATTGAATGCAGAAATTACACAGAAACAGCGAAAGTCGGAGCTACCCTAGCTTAGGTACTCAGTCCAACCTACACGTAGCACTACTATTTTTCCTGGGTATTTTATTTGAAAAACCTTTTTTTATTAATTTATTAAAAATGACCCTCCATCAGAATTATTTGAAAAAATAGCTTAAATGTCCCGCGTAAAAATATCTCACTTTTTTATAACGCAAGGTCTGATGTAGAACGTGAGATCCCTCCATGTAGAAGAACTTAGGCACGAGAAATACAAGGAATTCATTTTCTGCAGAACACAAGGTCTCGCTTTCTGCAAAATACAAGATAGGACCATTTGAGGGTCATTTTCCAAATAATGCTGGCTGGAAATCATTTTTCTAATAAAATAATAAAAAATGATTATTGATTTAAAAAAACCCATTTTTTCTTATCTCTTAATTATTAGTTTTTAATAGTTTGGCGTGATTATAAGATATTATTTATTTAAAATTGTTTTTTATTGCACATACAATAATTTAAACCTAAAATCACAAAAAAACATTCCCTTTAACCATTAAGATCACTTGATGAGTTATCATCTCCTATAATTATTAAATCACACTTACTTTCAAGATTTACGTAAAGGGTTACTTGTATATTAAATAAACAATTGTTCTAAAAATATATGTTTAAAAAACACTCTCAACCTAAAGGTATAATATCAAAAAGGTTCTTAATGTTTGACTAAATAAATATTTTGGCCTCCATTCTTTTCCTAGAGCATTTTGGTCTCCAATGTTTTATTTTTGAAGCAAAATGATCACTTTATAGATGAAAACTGTTAGTTAACAAATGATTAACACTCTAAAATAAGGGCATTTTTATCTTAAATTGAAATGTTAAGAGCCAAAATACTCCATAAAAAATACGGATCAAAGTGATTATTTGATCAAGTGTCAAGGGTCTTTTTTTTATCTTAAAATAAAATGTTAGAGCTAAAATACTTCAAGAAAAGAATATAAATTAAAATGACAATTTTAGTAAGCATTGAATAATTTTGGTATTATGCCTAACCTAAACGTAAAAATTATAATTTTTACGTTTAAAAATAACTTTGGAGTCAAAAATATAGTTTTAACTTCCATTTTATTATCTTATGATATATTTATTTTATAACTTATAAAATTATAATTTCTACCGAGATATAATTACATGAGTAGTAATTTATTCTTTAGTTTAAAATTTTTATATATCATCATGTTAATATTTTAGATAAAAATTACTTTAAATTTGATATGTTTTCATATAACATGCACAATCATTATAAATTTACTTATTTTTAATAAAAATATTTTTAATAATTTTATCATAATTAAGTTTATATTTTATATATTATAACATTAAAAAAACCACCAAACATTATAACAACATTAAAGTCATACAAACTACAAATGGAACCAAAGATCAATACATTACATGACATTATTCTGGAAATTCAAACATTATAACAACATTAAAGTCATACAAACTACAAATGGAACCAAAGATCAATACACTTAAAAATCGACTTTAAAACTCCTAAATGCAATCTTTTTCTATTAAATTCTCAAAATAAATTCTTACAAAGGTATTAAAACAACATACTAAACTCGAAAGCACAGTGAAATAGTCAAGACACATAAAATCACACAAGTCCATAAATGAAATGTTAATAAGTATCTAACAACAAAGTAATCAGATTACATAATTATAAAAAATATTCTTACATGTCTTACATGATAAGATACTGGCAGAAAATATTTTTAATTTATCAATTTTTATTAGATTTAGTTTGGTAGTATATTAGTGTCCTACGAATATTCAGATTTCATCTTGTCGTCAAGTATCAAAACGATACAATACACAACAATCATTGCTCGGTCTTTTTGGAAAACAATACTGCTGCAAGATAAAACCGTTAACATTGACTAATTAATAATAATCAAATAATGAAGGAGATAGATTGATTTTACTATGTCGTGATATGGAAGACACTACCTTAGAAGTAATTTTGTCCGGATTGGTGTAATCCCGAAATGGACGTTGCCCCTCCAAAGTTAACACAATCTTCCAAACCTCGTACCCTCGAAGTAAAGAAGTGAAACCCACTTGTGCTGCTCTGTTCGACCAGAAATTTTCCATGAAGAAAATACGAAAACCATCTATTGTATATCCAATCAAGGAAAGTGACTATCCCTTTTATAAGAGTGGTAGAGGGGTAAAATTGTCAATTTGCATTTACCCACTCCAACCATTGCCTAAATAAAGGGTAACCAACACCCTAAAAATAACCTTAGTATTTGCATTGCTAACAATCCCCCACAATGCAAATAAGTAGAAAATTTTGAATACGAAAAGAGCAACAACAAAGCTAGTCGCTTAAGTACTAGTGAACGTATCTGGAACTAATACATAGTGGAATGAACAATTCTTCTCTTAATAAGTGAACGAATCTGGAACTTGTTAAAATAAGGGTAAACTCACAACGCACGACTAACTTCTTCACCAAGTGAGTTCCGTGATAGATTAACAGATTTAGCCAAATATACCT